ATGTAATGTTGACCTGACCATTATAAATGACAAACAGCAAGCCGGTGAGAAATTTCCCCTGACAAATAAAGACAACCATATGGTTTTAATGGGCTGGTGGCTGCAGTAGTGGAGTAGTTAGTCGTATTGCCGAACGGAGGTTCATAAGTTCGAATTCCGGCTCCACCAATGTTCGAAGGGTATGGATGTTCAGCTCTCCTGGCGTATTTCTGATAAGAAATAAAGCGCTCCTCATTAAATTCTAGCAGTCGTTCGGAGGCGGCTTTGAACAAACCAGAGGCCCGTCCTGGGTTGGAAGAGCATTAAGTTGTACGCCACAAATTTGGGAAACAGCTCGCCGGAAAATCGTTTGCGCAATTATAAATCGGCAATTTTATAAATCTATTTTTTTTTTTAAATCGTAGTCCAAGCTGGAGAATCCAGCAAAAGTGTGCAACTTTCGACATGCCGCAAAACATCCACTTAAGGATCTTCCATTGGTGTGTACATTTGTATGTATAGATTCATCTATGATTAGCTACATTCCGTTGGCGAAATAACAAAGTAATTGCAGTTCAGCAGAGTGCCGACTTAATTACAAACAAAATCCGCCGAAAGACACTTGCGCGTAATGAAAGTGAGACGGATTTCCTGCACTCCGATTTCATCAGTGCAATGAAGTCACGCCTACCAAAATGCTACTGGCATCAGTGCAATATGTCAAATACCCAGGAAGACTAAGCGCTCATAGGGATTTCCTTTCATATTTTCCTCACATAGGCACACACACATACATAAGGACGTGCTCAGCAAATTAATGACACAACTAATAAGATTCCATTGTTGGGATTTAACTTTTTTAAAATGTTTAGCGGAAATTTGTCACTAAAAACTCATCGCTCTCGTCGGTGGACTACCTACTCGCATTAGCCGCCGAGCTTGGTCGGTGTTGAAAGCAAACATATGTTTGCCGTTATGTACTATGTTCGATTGCACTCTCGGTAATTACTCAGCTGCAGGCACAAAGTCCTAATGATTAATAGAAATTTTGTGTAAATTCCCAATTTAAAGGAAGGTGGATTTGTGGCAAGTGTGTGAGAGAGAAATTACTTCCGTTTATATGCATGTATGTGTATATATATGTGGAGGGAAAACTTCTAAGTGATGAAAAAGGTGCATTAAATACGATCTCTAGAACCACTTTTAGTAATCATAGGCGACCGCTGTAGACGATGGGCTGCAGTCCGTGCTGTTTGGCGGAGCATCAGAGTTCGACAACCAGAATTATAGAAAGTCTAGGCTGTTCTTTGGCAGAGAATAACAACCCGTCGGTGTGTATTTCCGACATTAAATAAAATCTTCCCATAAAATATATCAGTTGCTCGGAGGCGGATTAGGATAAAATGTAAATTCCTCCATTAGTAGCAAAACCATCAAGATAGACACCACAAGTTGAAGAAAGAGCTCATCTAAAAATCACTTCGAACTGACTACTAGGCACTAACCTCAATTTCAAGATCACCAGGGTGCTCATATAAAAGTTCTTTAAAGCATTACTACAATATTACGATGATCAAAGTCATCAAAACCACTGAGGTTGTGTAGTATTCATTGAAAGATCACGGTTTCAGGTAATACCCCAGCTAGTATATGTCCTGTAGAAGACTCGAGTAAGTGTACTAATATTAAAGGCTGTCTCCTTGCATCACCAGAATAGTTGAATACCACAGACACCGACAGAGCCCGAAACTGTTTATAAGCGCCTAACAGCTTCATTGAAATTAAAGAGGAGAGGAAGACGTATTTGCGGACAAAAAAGAAGTTGCCGAAATGCAAATGAAAAGCTAACCGATAGAGTTAATGCTCGAAATTTTTACGAAAATGTGCGGCGAGACCAAAGGAAACTCTTGAAGAACTCAGAGAGGTGATCTTGCCACTATTGACCAGATATTCACCATGCGTCAAATCTGGGAAAAGACCCGTGAAAAGAAGATCAACATACACCATCACATTCACCATTTGGTAACGGCGAGTACGCAGTCGATGAAAGTATAAGCAGTACGAGGTTCGTATGTAAATTCGCGTATCTATCGTACCCAACGTGGAACCCGACCTATTTGAATAGGTTTCCTCAAAGCTCAAGGTACCCAATAGTAGTTTAATTAACAAACGTTCATTAGAATGAAGTCCGTGGAGAAGAACTTTGATTCACTTGGTGTCTTCAATTGGCGTCAAACGACTTCAATGCTATTGTTCACTACGCGGCAATCGTCTACTTCAATTCGTTACCTTTGTTTGCAAAATTTGGGTATTGCAGACCGTTAGCATATATCTGATCTTCGTTATGAATATCAGTAATATTTCCATGGTTCGTTGAGGACGAGTAGCAGCGAAAGACTTAACCCCACGAATGTTAAACTTTAAGCTACTACAAAAACCTCACTTGTTCGGTATCCTCTGTTACTACCTTTAAGAATTCAGTCACGAACTTTTAGTTCGAAAGTTTACGTCGGCGTCAGACCGCCGCATCCGGGTTTACTATGTATCTTGTACGTACGAGAAAGGTACGATGGCTGGCATGTTGCCTACGCGTCTTAGCCGCTGCTCATCTCTCTCTATCGTAATTGTAGGATTACTTCAGTTATTGGGGTAATCACATTCAAGGCATGGGACTAAAATATCCCGAATTACATTGTCGGGTTTCAATCTTCTACGGACATATCAATATGACGTACTCACTATCTTCTTCGAAAGCAGAGCCTTAAATTTCAAAAGTATTGCCCTGAGCCATGACCAAAACGGCGAGATGATTGCTGACGACTTGGAATCCATTTCTGCCTGATCACTGCCATCCAACACCTCTAGATTTGGTAAGTCCAACTTCTTTTCTTCCAATGATTTCGAGATTCTTACGACAGCCTAAGATAATGATTGACTTCACTATGACCACAAGGAGCTGTCTACTTTACTGACGCGTTTGGCTGACGGCTTTGTTATCTATATGCTTCAGGTGATCTTGTCGGTGACCAAGATTAATGAAAAGAGTTTGCTATTTGACGCCTGTCCTTGCCAAACCAAACCAAACTTTCATTTGAATTTTGTTCTCAATTTTTCGCCTTATGAGTAGAGCGGCTTCTGATTTATGTTCCGCTTATTTGGGTGATTCAATTTCCAACTGCCAACTTCATGTCGATTGCAACATCATCGACGTATACCTAAATTCTTAATTCTTTGGGTCCCACGTCCGTAGTAACTCGTCGTAGAGGCGGTTTCTAAATGTTGATTCCGTTACAGACCTCTCAGGCTTACTCACTGTGATATTCCGTTTTGCAATACGTCTTCTGCTGCTCGTACCTCGGTCCTTCCGAAACTCAACTTGGAGTACCAATAACTGGTGTTAAATGTAGAGCTCTAAATGCTTTTGCTCTAATACCTTTCCCGTTTTTTTTGAGTATAGATAAAGAACAGTAAGTTGGCGGCGATAATCCATCCAAAGATCTTGAGATCATCCCATTTTTTGTATCTTTCATACCCATATGCATGTACTCTGACAGCATTCTTCTTGTATGCCAGCGTCGAACTGTTGTGTAGGGCATCCATTGTGTCGACCAATATCACTTCGAACATGTTACAACTGCCTGTCAAAAAGAGAAACAACCACCAAAACACGTCTCACACCAAATGCAACGAACCAACCAGCCAAAGAGCACCAGAGCACCAGAGCGCCAACACATTGCGCCAATGAATAACAAAACTGGCAGCGCACACAGAACGACAACACATTTGTTGAAGTGACTTGCTAACGCGCGTACGTACACGGGCACGAGCACAAAAGCGGATGAGGAAAGAAGACGCCGGCGAAAAATAAGTAAATTCGAATCATTGAGATACAACGCGCGTGTTTAATTATTATTGTTATTACATGTTTTGTTATTATCCAGTAGCGAAACTTGTTTGTGACGCGCTCAAAAAGCGCTGAGTGTGTATAAAAAAATAAAGATTTTCGCCAACAAAAATTTACGAGAGAATTGCATTGAAGAAGTGTTTGAGCTGAGAGTAAAAGGAAAAAAGAAATAAATAAATAAAATAAATTTGTACAAAGTTACTAGTGAGCTAAAGTTTTTCACAAGCTAACCTACTTTGTACGCGCTTGCAAGTTAACAACAATAAAGAGTGCGGCAAATAAAGTAGTTGCTCAGTCAGAATAACGCAACGAATTGCACAAAACTCGCACGCACACGCACACACACATATGTATACGGTGAGTGAAGAATCGTAAGAAAAAAAGAACAAAATTATATACACAAGCATAGAAAAAACTTTCGAAATTTTCAAAAAGTAGTTCAAAGCGCAAGCGGCCTGAAATATTTACCACCCCCCGTGCCGCGCCGCCTTCCAACAACTTGACGCGCTCCACCTCACCTCGCTATACACAGGCAACGCAAGGCTTCGTGTAAAAAACACAACGCAGCGACCGCGCTTATTTTCGTTTATCTGTCTGCTTTGTCTCGTTTGGCCTGGTTGCGCGCTATCTGTCCGCGCATTCACGAAACAAACAAGCGTGCAACATTAGCAAAAACAAAAAAAAAACAAAAAAACAAAAAAAAAATCACATAAAAAATATACATCTTTCAAGCAATATTACTACAAGCTTTTGCTAAAGTTAAAGTTAAACAGCGCATAACGGTCGCCAGCAGCAGGCAGCACATCAGCGAACGTCATTAGTGTCAGTTGTGAAATTTTTTTTCGCAAAGAAAAAATTAAATCTCCATAAAAAAATAAGAAAAAAAAGAGAGAGAACGTACAGAAATTGCTGAATAAAATACTTTGTGTTTAATGCTTAAAAGGCAGAAATTGTGAGGAAAGTAAATAAAGTAAAACACAATTTCGTTTAATTAATTCGTTGGAGAAATTTTCTTAGAGCTCGCATTTTAATGGAAATAACTGCAGTGCTTTAAGAAATTTTATATGTAAGCAAAAAAGAGAAAACAACAAGCGTAAAATAAAATCAAATAAAATATGCAGTGCTTTAAGAAATTTTATATGTAAGCAAAAAAGAGAAAACAACAAGCGTAATAAACAAACAGGAAGCGTGCAAGCAGAAATAATAAAAACAAACAAAAAAAGTTTAAAAATACATACACAACAATATTTTGCGACAATCAGCATCGTACTCGCAACAATAAAAACACACACGCCCTCCCGCGTTGGTCGACAACGCTTTAAAATAATATTCATAAAAAAAAGTAAATAATAAAAAAAAAAACAAATAAATATTAAAAGCAAAAGCAAACAAACCAAAATAAATTGTAGCAAAAGAATCGTAAATTGCAAATCGCGCACAAAACGTCTAGTCACAACGGAAGCGCGACAAATTTAAATAAACATACATACATATATGTATGCAATAATATAATATACAAATCTATAAACATTATTAAAAAATATCTACACATTTTTGTTTGTTCATGCAAAATCGCCCGCATATTTGTGTAAAATTCCACACAGCGCGTCAGTTTGATCAATCATTCATACGTCATAACAAATAATACAAATCAAAAGCAACATAATTACACATACAATTAGAAATTTTATATATATATAAATGAAAATAAGCAACTTTAATAAATTCAATCAATAAACAGCAAACAATTGGATACGTCACATTTTTTTCACTTATCAAAATAAACAGCAACAGCAACGCACAATTTTGCTATCAAGCGGAAGTCGATTATCTAAATAAAGCCAAAAATTATCGGAAGCGAAATTATCGGAAATAAATAAGCACCTGACACATTACTTGCCCGGTTAAAAGGTAAGCACTTGAAATCGAAGATAAGTTAAAATTTGGACATTTTTATGCTATTACTTATTATATTTCCACTTTCTGTTGTGATAAGCTGTTGTTAGGTGGCGAAATGAGTAGAAAGTGGAAGTGACTGACGAACTTTACGATTAGAATCTACAGCTGCGGAAGTAAAAGTGTGTGTGTGTCTTTTGTAGTTATAAAATATGAAATGTGATAAGAAATAAATTTATTGATTTACCTACGTATGTATGTACATATATGAGGGTGTGCTTGCACTGATTCGCGTGTCCTTTAGGCAAATTTAAATTTAACTTGTCATTTGATAAAGAAATTTTGTATTTAATAGCGCAGATAAGTGGAGTGAATATTTTTGGTCATCAAAAAAATATATAATAATTTCACTTTTTGATTGCTAACTCTTTCTTGTTGCTGAGTGATGATGAAATGTTTTCAAATAAGAATATTTAAGCATTTATGCGCAACTTATTTCGTAACAGTTGGATAACTTCTTTAAATAATTGCTAGCTTCATATTAGGAATATATATATAGATAATACTAATAATAATATTAATTCTTATATAACTAGCAGCAACTCTCAACTAAAAAGTGTCTTTTATAAAATATATGTATTCCATATGCATTCAAAATAGTTTGAATTATCAATAAATTCACACGGTTTTCAAAATCTTTCGCTTTCCCACCAATCACAATATATATTTTTTTCTTTTAACCACAATTCAAATCCTACTTCGTACGCACCAATTAAATGTTCTTATAGCAAATCCTGCAAATTAAATAAAGAAATATATATTTCATCAAGCATACAATTAAATTGACCACAAAAGAGCGAAAATATTGCTTTCCCACCAATGACCACAAACAAAACCTGCATATATTAATGTAATGAAACCGCAAAAAGAATTTAAGACTTGAATAAAAGAGAATGCTGGATAAATAAATTCTATAAAAAGAGGAAAATATCCAAAAAAAAGTTGTCAAAAGTATATATAATTAAATGCAAAAATAAAAAATGAAGAAAATGAAACTAAATATTATATAATAAAATAAGTTAAAATCAAACAAAAAAGTAAAATAAAAAAGACAAATAAAATTAAAAAAAAAATAACTTAGGATGAATAAAAAATATATAATATATAATTTATAAACCAAAAAATAATAATATGAATTAGCAGAAAATTAAGTAAAATAACTGTTATGAAACTGGAAAAAATTAAAAATAATCAAAATAAGCTAAAAAGGAATAAAGTTAAATAAAATCAATTTAAATAAATGTAAAATATAAGTAAAATAAAATTGAATTAAATATATATACATGAAATATATATATGATTAGATAAAATAAAATATACTTTTAAATAATAACTTAAAATTAAACTTAAAAACTAAAATAAAATTTAAAAGAAATAACAAAAAATAAAATAAACAAGAAAATAAAAATAAACAAAAAAATAAAATAAAAATAAAAAAAAACTTTTAAATAATAACATAAAATTAAAAAAATAAAATAAAATCAAATAAATTAAAAGCAAATAAAATCAAACCAAATAAATTAAAAGCAAATAAAATAAAAAAAATCAAAACAAAATAAATTGAATAATAATATTAAAAATAATTAAATAAGATAAACAAAAAAATAAATAAAATAAAGTAATATAATTTAAAACAAAACAAAATAAAGTAAAATCAAGTAAAAGAAAATAATTTACAGCAAAATAATATAAAATAAAATTTAGAAAAACAAAATAATTTAAAACAAAATCAGGTAAAAAAATATATAATTAAAAATAATAAAATAAAATAATATACAACATAATAAGATAAAATAAAATAAAACACAGTGAAATGAAGTAAAAAGTAATATAAAATAATTTAAAACAATATACAATAATAAAAATAAAATTAAAATAAATTTACATTAAATGGAATAAAAAAATAAAATACCAGAAAAGGAATTCAAATAAAATAAAATCAAGTAAAATAAGATAAAATAAAACAAATTACAATAAAATAAATTAAAACAACATAAAATAAAATAAATTAAAACAACATAAAATAAAATAAATAAAATAAAATAAATAAAATAAAATAAAATAAAATAAAATAAAATAAAATAAAATAAAATAAAATAAAATAAAATAAAATAAAATAAAATAAAATAAAATAAAATATAATGGAATGAAATAAAAATAAATAAATAAAAAATAAATAAAAGTGAAGCAAAAATTTAAATGAAACAAATTAAACTAAATTAAATTACTTTTAATAAACTGAAATAAAAGTAAAGTAAAATGAAATAAAATCAAATCAAACAAGCTCAAAAAATGCATCCAATTATTTGCAAGGAATTACACACATTCACACTCAAATTTATATGTATATCTTTTAGTGCGTATGTAAGCAGTAAAAGCCCACTTGAAAAATAATATAAAAATTCAGAAAACGGCAGCTGCAAATTTTTAGCAAAAAAAGGTACAAAAATATAAAATATAACAATAAAACGCATACAAGCATATGTACATATGAGAATATATGTGTCTATATATGTATGTATACAGGCAGACACTTAACTCACTTAACAACCGTAAGAAAGTAAAGGAGCTAAAAAATATACTCGTACGCATTTCAATTGACTCGAAATGTTAAGAGGCAACAAAAGGTGTGGTCGGCCACGCTGAAAACACATACATACATAGTAGCACGGCGTTAAGAGTGTGCTGCGTTGCAACCTACATACATATATATGCATACAACTTCAATGCATTTCCACATATGTGGCGGCTATTTTAATGCGCGCGCATGCGCAGACAAAGCTACCGACGCGTAGCAACAACAGACAGACAAACAGACAGATACTACGTATATAATGCACTAATAAATATATATATGTATGTATGCATATGTTCCTATACAAGGATGTTTCAATAATGACTTGGCGCACATTCCGTTTGGCAAAACAGCTGCTCCTTTTGCTGTTCATACACTATCTGATGTCTATTGTTGTTGGACTTCGGTTATTTGGCCACAAAAGGACGCGCAGATAAGCATAAAAACGAATTGTACAACAGATAAAAGAAATATATTTCACCTGGCGGCATTTAAATATGCATTTTGGTGTTTTTATTGTTGTTGCCGAAGAACTTAAGCATACATACGCATACACATATATGAATGTAGATACTTTTGCAGCGGATGCAGGCATATTTATCGACCACACAGATGCTTGGGGATGAGCTTTTGTCGTGGTTAAAATGCTAATTTTGGAAAATACTTTTATGCATACATGCAAACTTACACGCTGTATATGCATTAAGGAGTGTATCATGTGTTTTGACTTTTTTTCCACAAAAACAAATTGAAAAAAGAAGAATTTGGCAAGTAAATCAAAATGATTGCCCGAAATAATTTGATAAGAAACGGAAGGAAATGGTTAATAAAAAATTATCAATCAATTTCCTGTGTGCTTTAATTGGGCTTAAACATTTTTAAAGTGAAAGATAAGAAAAAAATTATAAAAAAAAAAATTTTTAGAAAAGTTACTTAGGAGCTACCAATATTTAATTACTCAATATAGATTACTCAACATCAAAAAAAAAAAACATTTATTATTGCGTTAGATCTGTACATTCATATAAAAAATGTACAAAAAAAAACTTGTCCATTATATTTTGTGGCCTGAAATCTGCACTTAGTGATAAGATATGACTAAATATTTACAAACAGACATAAGTAGTTAAACATACATACGTGTCCATCCACTTTTCATTGTCGCCTCTTCTTATCAGGAATATGAATTTAATGGCTAACCACATAGGAAGACATAAAAGGGTTGAGTTTTAGATGACTATGCTATCATTTGTATGTCTGATATGTATGTATGCAATTACACATATGTATGTTTGTATTACATGAGTGGTTTAGCACTGACATACCAATAGCTTATATATTCATATCTCTGTAATGTATTTTTTTTTTTTTGAAATTCTTTTATATATATTTATGTATTTTTATGTATATTTACAAATAAGTATGCATAAATGCATGTATGTATGCACCTGTGTATTTAATTAGTAACCATGGATATAATAATTGTATTTTTTTGATAGATAAAAGCCTTGTTTGTATAAAAATATGTATAAGCACATAAGTCTCTATTGCCTCGCTCACCGGAGAGGTGGAAGTGGGTCAACTGTTTATCAGTTTCTGATGACTGCATGGCTGATGTTGATAAATATCCATTTTTTAAATATTTATTTACCGCACAGGTACTTGAACAGGTGGTAAGTACATATGTACATACACATATTAAAACATAGATACATAGATACGTTGTGTGTTTGTGCAGATGAGAACTAGGTTGGCTCAGTTTTATGAAGGCGAAGTAAAAAAAATCAATTTTTCTTTTATTAATTTTACTTTAATTGGAAAAATACTTAAAAAAATAGTGTAAATTAATTTATTTTTTTTTTAATTTTTTATTAATTTTGTAGTATTGTTTTTTTTTTATTTCTTTGGTACTTTGAAAATGAGAATTTTCATTCAGTTAAGTTATACAAAAAAATTTGGAAATTTAAAGAAAGTAATATTTTTCATACTCCATAATAGAACAGAGAGTTTTCTAAATTCATTTAATCAATGTTGTGTGTATAGTTGCCTTGTTGCCTCGCACAGAAAAACCGTAAAAAACAGTTTCTTTGGTATTTAATAATTTTGATTTTAAGTCTAATGTACGAAAAATATATTTGAATAAAAATCATGGAAATTTACAAAATAAGTTTCATTCAGTTTTAATTATTTAATGTAAATGTTTTATAAAGTCTAAACAACCCAATGTTCATATAAATAAACGCAATTTGAGGCACAGTGACATTAAAGCAATAAACGCGCGCCTTTACGTAATTCGAAACAATAAAAAAAATTTTCTAGCACGTGTTTATAATTATTTTTATAAGCCATACGATCATCCGACAATCACCTCATTGATTGT